ACCACCGACTGCTCTGACCAGGATCACAATAGAGGGTCCTGGACAGAGCTGGAGAAAAATGTAGAACAAAATTCTAACTCACAAAAACAGACTAGACTTACTGGCCTGACAGAGACTAGAGAAACCCTGAAAGCATGGCTCTTAGCTCAGTAATGAAGTCACTCCCGAGGTTCACCGATCAGCCAAAGATTAGACAGCCCCATAAAACGAAACAAGACTAATGGGGTACAACAGTCCAGGGACGAGGACTAGAAGGCAGGAGGGGACAGGAAAGCTGGTAACAGGGAACCCAAGGTTGAGAAGGGACAGTACTGATATGTTGTGGGGCTGTTAACCATTGTCATAAAACAATATGTGTACTAACTGTTTAATGAGACCAAACTATTTGTTCTGTAAACCTTCATCTAAAGTACAATGAAAAAAAAAAACCATGCCCTAAACAAGATGCACACTGCATGCTTGCCAACACTCCCTCCTTATTGCAACACCGTTTACTCTCGTTTTCTGACTTCAGACTTGGCTGTCACAGCTACGTTCCTAAAAATACCAAAACAGATCATGGAGGCCAAAATCTAAAATTTTATTGTCTCCTACTTTGTAAGATACACATCTTTTATTGTCATATATGTGCAAAAATACTATAAATCATCCCTGGAAATACAGGGCACTCTTGCTATGGACCCAGGCAAAAGTATGACGACGAAAATTTCCCAACACTGGACAGCGAAGACCTAGGTTTCTGGGAACTACAGTAATCCTATTCTCATTATGATGATATCAAATTAATCACCTTTGATAATGAGACACAAACTATCAAAAACAATTAAGGCAAAATATGATTCAAAATTTATAGGCAGAGTAAGAGTCATCCAGAGAAAATTATTCTGCCAAGCATGGAATCGTACATTTGTATTTTAACACTGGTAAGACCAGGAATGATTATAGCATAAGATATTTTTTCTGAAAGAGTAGACAGGGACGTGTGGTATATAGGAAGGTAGTTCAAGTTTCTGTTTTTTATCTCTTTTGCAGTAGATTCTAGGTTTCTTTTTGATTTCAGCTCTATAAACCACAAAAATGTTATTAATTAATGCAGCATAAAGACCTTAAAAACAATCTGATTATTCTGGTAGTCTGGTGACATACTGGTAAAGCTGTTCTGCAAACGCTTCAGAGGAAAACTTCTCCTTCACTCTGGCTCTTCCAGCCAGTCCCATTGTGGCTTTCAAGGAAGGTTTGTGGATGAACTTTTCCATGGCTTCTGAGAAGTGCACTGGGTCAGGCTCACATAGAAACCCTGTGACGTTGTGCAGGATGGATTCCAGGGGCCCGCCGGAATTAACAGCGATGACTGGGCACTGCATGTACATGGCCTCCAGAGGGACGATGCCAAAGTGCTCGTTGCTTGGTGTGTAAAGCACACAAGTGCAGCTGTGGAGGAGTGAAATTTTCTGCTTGTCTGAGAAAGACCGCAAGAAGGTCACATGTTGGCCAAGGTCAGACTGCTGGACCATATTCTTCAGCTCCTGATAGTGCTCCACATTCTCCAGGACTCTCTCATCATAACCACCTGCCACGATCAGATGCACCCTATCCCAGTCTTGGGATGTCAATCTTCCCCGCAGCTCTACTAGAGCTTCCAGTGCCAAAGTCACATTTTTCTTCCTTTCGTATCTGTTGATGGAGAGGAATAGGAATTGTTTTCCTTTGGGAACTAGGTCATCAAGTTTTTCGGGAATAGCTGAGTCAAAGCTGGTGACATTCACGGATGGATAGAGGACATCGGGGTCTATGTGAGACAAGGTCTTGAATGTGTCCTTAAAAACATTAGCTGTAAACTGGCTGTTGACCACAATGCAGTCGGCCATGCCTGTGGTGTATTCCTCTACCCAGTCAATTGGGGCCCTATATAGCCGTTTAAGAAAAGAATCTCTATTGGTGAGCAGCAGATCTGGGAAGTGACAGTAAAACAGGATCTTCTTACGTCGTCTGGCCAGCCTGAGCACTGGGATACAAGCGGACACCTAGCCAAAGCAAAAATCAGCAGCAGATAAAGTGACTGGTCAACCCATTTTCAACCAAATAAAAGCACGGACACCCACCCTAGCTACAAGTCTATGGGCTCCTCATGGGTTAATGTCTGATCTGTTTTGTGTTCCCCCAGACTCTTACCCGGCACATGCATGGTGTATAGAAGGTTGGTAGACATTTGCTGAATGACTGCTAAACATACATCATGCGAGTAAAATGACAGCACCTCTTTGGAACGCAAACCTGGCAGCAGCTTTCAACATTTAAAATGTACACATTATTTGACCCAACAACACCTTTTCTGGGAATTTACTCAAAGCACATGCTTCCAGAACTACCGAACCCGCCCTCACCCCCATCAAAAACAACAACAACAACAACAAAAAAAACAAACACAAGAATGCTCAGTACAAGACTGATCTATTCACAAAAAACTGGTCATGATGTTAGTGTCCTTTAACAGAAAAATGTTTAAGTTTTGGTACATTCAAACAAAAGTGGATTTTCCAGCCACTACAAAGAATGAAGTGAATCTCTAAAACCAATATATAAGGATGCCCGAAAAGACATTTTTGGTGAAAAAAAAGGAAGTTGTCCAGTAGTGTTGCTGTTAGCTGCCATCCACTCAGCCTCCGGCTCACAGTGACCCCACACACAATGGGATTGGACCACTGTGATCCATAAAGTTTTCACTGGCTGATTTTTCAGAAGTGATTGCCAGGCCTTTCTCCCAATAGTAGGTGTGTTAAAATTTCCATTAAGTACAGATAAGAAGACATACCTAGAAGTACACACATATGCTGGTGTAGTCAGATAATTTCTGGAAGGATACAGGAGAAACTGTTAACAGTGGCTATTTCTGGGGAGTGGAATGAGGTCGGACTTTTACATTCTATGCTTTTATATGATTTGAATTTTTAATCGTGAATAAATGTTATTTTAAAAAATAAATTTAGGGGGGCATAAGAAGGAAAGGGAAACCCTGGTGGCATAGTGGTTAAGAGCTACGGCTGCTAATCAAAAGGTCGGCAGTTCACATCCACCAGGTGCTCCTTGGAAACTCTATGGGGCAGTTCTACTTTGTCCTATAGGGTCGTTATGAGGCGGAATCGACTTGACAGCAAAGGGTTTTTTTTAAGGAAAGAGTCTAGAATAGCTAAAAGCTAGATCCAGGTGTACCTTATCTACCAAGGTAAAAAACTTAAGACTTTTCTTCATAGAGCAATGGGGAGTCATGTTAAAGTTTTAATAGGAGCATAGCATGTTTAGATTGGTGTTTTTAACATATGACACTGCTAAGGAGTGGGGTGACCTGGCTGCGAGGACTACTGTCACGGATTGAATTGTGTCCCCCAAAAATATGTGTATCAATTTGGCTAGGCTATGATTCCCAGTACTGTGTGATTGTTCACCATTTTATCATCTGACATGATTTTCCTATGTGTTGTGAATCCTATCACTATGACGTTAATGAGATGGATTATCGGCAGTTATGCTGATGAGATCTGTAAGATTAGATTGTGTTTTAAGACAATTTCTTTTGAGATATAAGAGAGGGAAGTGAGCAGACAGGGGGACCTCATACTACCAAGAAGCAGTGCCAGGAGCAGAGCGCATCCTTTGGACCTGGGGTTCCTATGCAGACAAGCTCCTAGTCCAAGGGGAGATTGATAACAAGGACCTTCCTCCAGAGCCGACAGAGTAAGCCTTCCTCTGGAGCTGACACCCTGAATGTGGACTTTGGCCTATTAGACTGTAAGACAATAAACTTCTGTTTGTTAAAGCCATCCACTTGTGGTATTTCTGTTACAGCAGCACTACATGACTAAGACAACTAGAGACAGTGGACTGCATATGGCTTGAAAATAGTCAAGAAATAATGGGAAATAGGGAAGAAGCCGACGTGTTACTCAAAAATAAAAGCTGTTTCTTGATCGAGCTCCAAGGCTCATCTGCTTCAGAATGACCCGGCAGATTTCTGGGACTCACCCTAGGACTCCAGAATGAAAACTTCTGAAGGTGGGACCCTGGAATCTGCAATGAGCGCCCACAATAAAGTTCGACAACTACAGTCTCATCCCAGCTCTGATTTCTCCAGATCCGTACAGATCTTTCGGAATCTCAGACCAACAGGAGTACTCAAGAGGTCAAGCAGTGCGTCTCCATAATGAGAAAAGGAACGGCAGCGAAGGCCTGGTCATGGCCACATTTGTACAGCCGTTATCGGGTCGCATGCAGCCCTGCAGACGCCTCACCTGGTCGCACACAACCACGTCGAACTCCACGCCGCTGCACAGCATCACGTAGAGCGCCAGGTAGATCATGCGCACGTAGGCACAGAGCGCGGCGCCGCGGCCGCCCCAGCCCAGGCTGCGCGGCAGCCAGTCCCCGGCGCAGTGCACCGGTAGCTCGCGGCTCTCGGCGAAGCAGTGGCCCGGGTCGTAGTGCGCCGTCCAGATCTGCACGTCGCATCCGCGCGCCCGCAGCGCCAGCGCCGCGTCCAGCACCAGTCGCTCGGCGCCGCCCACGCCCAGGTCCGGGTGCAGGAAAAGCACAGACGGGCCGGGACCCGGGTCGCAGTCATGGTCTCGTTCTCCCGCCATCACCTGGGAGTTCCGCCTATACCCAGCGCCCTGAGGGGGCTTTCGGGAAAGCCCCGCCTCCCCGGCTCCCAGCTGGCCACTGCGGGGCCCTCCCCACCCCGCTGTGTGTACGTCTGTTAGGCCACATCAGCGCAAATCTGTGGGTGCCTAATAACTGCCGGATAAAATTTCTCGCCCAACATTAGCTATATCCACTTTTTGGTGGGAATTGAACCCTATAAAGCACTCTTTGTCCAAAGGAAGGAGGTGGTAGGTCTGTACTTTCCATATAGCGGCTGACCAAGCCGCCTGGAGGGAAATTTGTACAGGCAAATAGTGAGGACAACCCAGGCGTCCTTGGAGTCAGCGAGGACCCTGCCAACAGGTCTGGGGGCGGGGTCTGAGCCAATCTCTCCAGCCGCTGGTCCTTTGAGGGCTACTCAGCTTCCGCCAGTTGGCTTTAGCTTTCTGCAACTCTCTGCCTTCCAACATGGTATGGTCGCCTCAGCCTCCCCTCCTTGATCCCCGCCTCTCCCAGGTGCCCTGACTCCTGCCTGTGTCTTCCTGTCTCCCTGTGTCTCCTTCGCTTTCGCGAGCCTCCGGTGCGGGTGCTAGTCTCGGCTGTTAGGGTCTGGTGGCGGGCGTGCGGCGCTGACCGGTCTGTCTCCTTGTCTTCCTCTACAGCCTGGTCCGACCCCCAGTGGCACAAACGTGGGCTCCTCAGGGCGCTCTCCCAGCAAAGCAGTGGCCGCCCGGGCAGCGGGATCCACCGTCCGGCAGAGGTGAGGATCCGTGCAACCAGCTGGGCTGTGGGTTCGGAGAGATGGGGCCGAAGAATTCTCTGGCCTTGGGAGGGAGATCCCGGGATATCACGATTCATAAGGGCAAAATGAGCCTTAAGTGACGTGGCCATAGCGGAAATTAGACATTTTGGTCTTGTGTATACTTCTTTGAACTAAGAAGCACGTTCCTCACGTGTGTTGTTGTTTTATAGGCCTGTCTAGTCTTTGGCTGAAAGGTGGACTTCGGGTTTGGCTTCAGTTTTGAGTTAGCAGGGTGTCCGAGGGGCCATAGTCTCGGAGGTTCCTCGAGTCTGTATTAGAACAATAAGTCTGGCCTTTTTTGTGAGTTTGAATTTTGTTCTACCTTTTTCTCCCATTCTATGCGGGACCATCTATTGTGATCCCTGTCAGAGTGGTCGGTGGTGGTAGCCGGGGAACATCTAGTTCTGGAGTCAGGCTGGTGGAGGTTGTGGTTCATGTGGTCCATTAGTCCTTTGGACTAATATTTTCCTTGTGTCTTTGGTTTTCTTCATTCTCCTTTGCTCCGAATGTGAAGGGACCAATAGATGTATCATAGATGGCTGCTTGCAAGCTTTTAAGACTCCAGATGCTACTCACCAGAGTAGGACAAAGTAGGATGTGGAATGTTTTCTTTATGAACTATGTTATGCCAGTTGACCTAGATGCCCCCTGGATTATTGTTTGTCTTATAGGCCTGTCTAATCTTTGGCTGAAAGGTGAACTTCGGGAGTGGCATCAGTTCTGAGTTAGCAGGGTGTCTGGGGAGCCCTCAGCCTCTTTTCTCTGGACTGTTGCATTTGCTACTTCTCCTCTCCAGGCATTTCCACTGCGATCTATGCTCCACTCTGACTCTCACTCTTCTCCTTAAAGATCTCTGTTAGTTTCTTGTTGCAAAATTTAAAAAAATGGGTATGAGCCTTTTTTTTTTTTTATCTTCTGACTTTTTTGTTTATTTTTGTAGTTTAAGTGAAAGTTTACATTTCAAGTTAGTCTTTTATACCAAAATTTATACATATGTTGTTATGTGACCCTAATTGCTCTACTTATGCTGTGACGGCACACACCTCCTTTACACGCCCATGTCCGTTTCCCATGTCCATTCAACCAGCTCCTAACCCTCTCTGCCTTCTCATCTTACCTCCTCTGGACAGAAGCTGCCCGTTTAGTCTCATGTATCTACTCGAGCTAAGAAGCACACTCTTCACAAGTATCATTTTATGTCCCACAGTCCAGTCCAATCTTTGTCTGAAGAGTTGGCCTCGGAAATTGTTTTAGTTCTAGGCTGATAGAGAATCCAGGGGCCATGCTTTCCGGGGTTCCTGCAGTCTCAGTCAGACCATTAAGTCTGCTCTTTTTACTAGAATTCGAGTTCTGCATGGGGTATGAGGCTTTTGAAGGTCTTTTCAGCCTAATCTTTCTCTTCTCATCTGTGATCCAACAACAGTGAACTTATTACTGTTTCTGAACTTACTAGCTCTTTTGGTGGCCCTGAAGCTCAGGGATTATTTCCTCTCAGGCCTTCCCTGACTCTACAGGCAGCAAGTTAGTCTCACTATTCCCAGTTCCTATCACAGGGCCTGACACAACAATAAATGATGACTGAATGGAAGAATCAAGCAACCCTGTTATCTTGGGATTTTTGAAGGAACTAGTGGGACTTTTATCTAGAGAAGACTTGGTAGGGGTACATGACAATTATATTTAAGGACGTGAAGAAGGATGGAGCTTTTCTTCTTGGTTCCAAAACTTATTGCTGTCGAGTCAAATATAAAGTGGTACAAGAATACGTCATTTGATTGTGCTTCGTTTATTGCGCTTCACAGGTACTGCATTTTTTACAAATTGAAGGTTTGTGGCAAGTCTGTTGGTGCCATTTTTCCAACAGCATGTGCTCACTTCATGTCTCTGTGTCATATTTGGGTAATTCTCGCAGTATTTCAAACTTTTTCATTATTATATCTGTTATGGTGATCAGTGATCTTTGATGTTACTATTGTAATTGTTTCGGGGCACCATGAACTGTGCCCATATAAGATGGTGAACTTAATTGGTAACTGTTGTGTGTGTTCTGACTGTTCCACCGACTGGCCATTCCCCTGTCTCTCTCCCTCTCCTCAGGCCTCCCTATTCCTTGAGACATGACAATATTGAAATTAGGCCAATTAATAACCCTGCAGTGGCCTCTGAGTGTTCAAGTGAAAGAAATCGCATGTCTCTCACTTTAAATCAAAAGCTAGACATGATTAAGCTTATTAAGGAAGGCATGTCAAAAGCCGAGATAGGCTGAAAGCTAGGCCTCTTGTGCCAAAATTAGCTGAGTTGTGAATGCAAAGGAAAAGTTCTTGAAGGAAATTAAAAGTGCTACTCCAGTGAAGACACGAATGATAAGAAAGTGAAACTGCCTTACTGCTGATATGGAGAAAGTTTTAGTGGTCTGGATAGAAGATCAAACCAACCACAACATTCCCTTAAGCCAAAGTCTAATCAAGAGCAAGGCCCTAACTCTCTTCAGTTCCATGAAGAATGAGAGAGATGAGGAAGCTGCAGAAGAAGAGTTTGAAGCTAGCAGAGGTTGGTTAATGAGGTTTAAGGAAAGAAGCTGTCTCCATAACATAAAAGTGCAAGGTGAAGCAGCAAGTTATCCAGAAGATCTAGCTAAGATAATTGATGAAGGCGGCTACACTAAACAACAGATTTTCAATGTAGATGAAACAGCCTTATACTGTATTAGAAGAAGAGGCCATCTAGGACTTTCATAGCTAGAGAGAAGTCAATGCCTGGCTTCAAAGCAACTGACTCTCTTGTTAGGGGCTAATGCAGCTGGTGTCTCTAAGTTGAAGCCAGTGCTCATTTGCCATTCTGAAAATCCTAGGGCCCTTAATAATTATGCTAAATCTACTCTGCCCGTGCTCTATAAATGGAACAGCAAAGCCTAGATGACAGCACATCTGATTACAACATGGTTTACAAATATTTTAAGCCCACTGTTGAGACCTATTACTCAGAAAAAATAGATGCCTTTCAGAATATTACTGCTCATTGACAATGCACCTGGTCACCCGAGAGCTTTGATGGAGATGTACAAGGATATTAATGTTGTTTTCATGCCACTAACACAGCATCCATTCTGCAGGCCATGGATAAAGGAGTAATTTTGACTTTCAAGTCTTATTTAAGAATATATTTCATAAGGCTATAGCTGCCAAAGATAGTGATTCCGTTAATGGATCTAGGTAAATTGAAAACCTTCTGGAAAGGATTCACCATTCTAGATGCCATGAAGAACATTTGTGATTCATTAGAGGAGGTTAAAATATCAACATTAACAGGAGTTTGGAAGAATTCGATTCCACTCTTTCTGGATGACTTTGAGGGGTTCAAGACTTCAGTGGGGGAAGTAACTGCAGACATGGTGGAAATAGCAAGAGAACTATATTTAGAAGTGGAACAGAGCCTGAAGATGTGACTGAATTGCTGCAGTCTCATGGTAAAACTGTAACAGATGAGGAGTTGCTTCTTATGGATGAGCAAAGAAAGTTATTTCTTGGATGGAATCTACTCCTGGTGAAGATGCTGTGAACCTTCTTGAAATGACAACAAAGGATTTAAAATACTACATAGACTTAGTTGATAAGGCAGCAGCAGGGTTTGAGAGGATTGACTCCAGGTTTGAAAGAAGTTCTACTGTGGGTAAAATGCTATCAAACAGCATCGCATGCTACAGAGAAATCTTTCATGGAAGAGAGTCAATCAATACGGCAAACTTCATTGTTGTAGTATTTTAACAATAACACACATGAGCAATGTGTGTCTTGGTTCAATCAAGTATATGAAAGCAAATAGGGAACACATGCCCAAAAGCAAAGACAAGAAGGCAGGAAGGGACAGGAAAACTGGATGAACGGACATGGGGAACCTGGAGTGGGAAGGGGGAGAGTACTAACACACTGTAGGGATTGTGACCAATGTCACAAAACAATTTGTGTATAAATTTTTGAATGAGATGCTAATTTGTGCTGTAAACTTTCACCTAAAGCACAATGAAATTAAAACAAGAATAAGCAAGTTGAGTAGAGAAATGTAGGACTCCTACGTAGTGTCAAGGATTCAGCTGAGGTTGGAATCATGAATTGACTAATTTTGCTCTGTTACATTTTCTCTAGTGGTGCCCAGGTGCCCAGTATGGTAGATTTGTATTTTCCAAAGATGGCCACGTGATATCTCCAATCCCATACTCTCTTCCTACACTGTGACCCTGATGTTCCTCTTATCTAGAAATGAAGTCTGTGTCCCTCTGCTTGAATCATGGCAGACTGACTGTCAAAAGTGATGTTGTGCTACTTCTAAGGATAGGTCTCAACAGGCAATGCAGCCTCTGCTTGGTTCTTTTGGAACACTTAATCTTGAAACCCAGCAGCTATGCTGTGAGGAAGCCCAAACTACCCTGTGCAGTGAGACCACGTGGAGAGACCATGTATAGGTGTTCCAGCCTGAGGTTATAGCCAGTAAACAGAAAAACCCATCAAACATCTGAGTGAAGACACCTCCAGATGATTTCAGTGCCAGCTGTTGAGTCATCGCCAGCCTTTGAGTCTTCCCAGCTGAGGCCTCAGACATCATGGAGCCGTCTCCACTATACTATTTGAATTCCTGACCCATAGAATCTGTGAGCATAATAAAATGGGGATTTTACTCCAAAAAAAAAAAAAAAAAAA